TGGGAATTTCGATGGAGTAGGTGGATATATTTGTATATTAAGGATTAAGCCTCAAATATCCGCTGATATCCGTCCAAATCTCATGATATCATTATCGATTCCTCCCTTAATTCCTACAATTCCCGTTTTACTTTCTTAATTTCTGAATAAACGAAAGTCTTTAAATTTTTTAAATTAAAACTTCGTACCCGGACCCAACTTAATTATGAAAATTTCCTAAGGCCAGAAGCCAAAAATTTCCTTTTTAAAATTTTCAAGAAAATGGATAGATTTAAAAAAATTTGCTGGGGTCAGATTTCGGTTTTGTAACTAAAACCGATATATTCTTTTTAAAAAATTAATTTCGAGTCCGCAAATGTCGGTCCGCAAAAGTCGGTCCGCAAGTGTCGGTCCGCAAGTGCGAATCCGCAAATGTCGGTCCGCAAGTGCGGGTCCGCAAAAGTCGGCTAACCATGTAATACGCTCGACCTCAACTACATCAAAAAGATGCATTTAAACTTTTTGTTGCGCAGGACCGATTTTAAACTCTAGAAAATTTTTATAAAATTAATACAAAACAAAAATAAATTTAAAATTCCATATTTTTGTCTTTGAAAAAATAAAAAAAAATTACCTTAACGTTAAAGGGCATCAATATCCGGTATATATTAAAATGATTTGCCTAATTCTGTATAGTGTACAATATTTATTGATTTAATTTTCATAAAAATTTTGTAAAAATTAATAAATAAAAATGTGATTAGCCACGCAAATTCCATTCATGTGAATTATTGTGAGTGATTTTTGTGAAGATTTGGAAAATTGTGAACGATTTTGCCGGCCTCTTTTTATGTATTTTTTACACATAAATGTCAACAATGAGAGAGAATGTCAACTATATATGTATACGGTAAAAAGATAAATTCCGTCAATAGAAAGTTTAACTCAAAAGGTGTTTGCAGCTACTCTAAATGCTTGATCTCCAGCAAAATATACTTATTCTTGATGCTTCAGCATCATTATTCTTGCGATAAAGCACATTGAATAATCAATGTCTTAATAAAATCAGGGGAAAACAATTCGTTCAGTGAAAACAATTCGTAATGGAATGATTAAAAAATATAGGCGAACAAAATGGCTGTTACTAAACATGCCAGAGTTCTCTATTAACATGTTAAAATTGTTAACGGATTGCCGATTTCTTTGAGTAACGAGTACAATATTTATTGATTTGATTTTCTTAATATTTTTTAAAAAATATAAAAAATGTGATTAGCAACACAAACATCATTTGTGTGAATTCTTGTGAAATTTGGCATGTGTAAACGCCTTTGCCCGCCTACTTTTTTTAATGTATTTAAGGTTTTCTTTTTTCTGAACATTTTATCGTTTTGTATTTTTATAGGGTTATAATTACTAAAATTAGTGACCGGGCCACGGATTTTTCCAGAGTCCAGGTTCCGTATCCGGATTTTTCCGTATCCGTATATTTTTTTTAATTTTCTTCAAATTTTAGAATTGAAAAATTCCTTAGCTGGAAAGACATTTTTTGTATATGTAAAAATTTCTTCATCAAAATTAAATATTTTCTTGTTTTACTAAAGAAAATAAATGAAAAGTAAAACAAAAATATTTTTGTTGATTAAAATATTCTTGATATTATTTTGGTTTTCAAAAGAAAATGAAGCTGTTGATCAAAAAACAGAAATCCCTAAAATAATACAAGACAAATTGATTTACGACTCACTTCAACAAGAAAATTTTATTTGGCCGAGACCTAAATTTGATAAAGGTAAAAAGATAGTACTTTTCCTAAGATATGACGAGTGATGTGGGGGATCCAGTTCCAGAACAGGAACCGTGGAACCGATAAATGTCTTGAGCTGGTTTTGAACATGAACCGTGAAACTGATAGAATAAATGTCAAAAATTGAAAGAATATATTCAGAGATTTTGGAACATTTACGTCCTTTCTCTGAGTGCCGGAAAATTGGGCTCTGGAAAATTGGGCTCCAAGATTTTTCGGAAAATTGGGCTCCAGCGGAAATTTGGGCTCTAAGTGAAAAAAACGGAAAATTGGGCTCTAATTTTTTAGGCGCGGGGAATTTTGGGCGTCGGAGTTAATTTTTGGATTTTTCCGAAAAATGACACAAAATCTAACAACGTAAACCTATGGGTTTCAGCGAGGCGCTTGTGCAAAATCCCGCGCTTCGCGCGGGATTTTGCGGCACGCGCTTCGCGGGAGTCAATGGTCGCTGGGTTCTACAACAGTAACATAAACCTATTCCTTTTACTGATTTGCAGCTTTGAAATGCCGACCTACCCAATAATTATCAGCACAAAATGTTATTACAGAGAATTTTGTGATATTTTTCGAATAAATCCAAAAATTAACTCCGACGCCCACAATTCCCCGCGCCTAAAAAATTGGAGCCCATTTTTCCGTTTTTTTCTCATAGAGCCCAAATCTCCGCTGGAGCCCAATTTTCCGAAAAGTTGGAGCCCAATTTTCCGAAAAATCTTGGAGCCCAATTTTCCAGAGCGAAAGTTTCCGGACACCCTTTCTCTAAATTTTGGGATTGAAACTAATAATACAGGGTGACAAGAAATGTTTAGGACAAACTATTTATGGAATGACTTTTTTGAACTTAAGGATATTGGATCAAATAAAATTTATATGATAGAGAAATAACTAAGGATCAAATATACTTAGGACTTTTCGAAGTTCCCACCCCTTGTTTGGATACAGAGTAGAAGTCGCGTGGAAAAATTTTTGGCAAATGTTCGCACCTCTTAGTGTGAGATTTTTTCTCATTCCCGAACGAATAAGAATCGGAGCGACTTCAAACTTTTGGATTATTAAGAACAGACCTTTACCTCAAAAATACTAAAAGCAGTAACCGATCGGATTCAACTCCGATGAGTACGGTAGCCATATTTGAGATTAGTTAAAACCGGGTAAATTGGCTGCGCACCAACCTTGCATTAATTTAGCCTTATAAAACAAGGATGATTTCTGCTTAAAGATCCAGTCCCTATGCCAAAAGTTGCCTCAGACTCAAGGCTTTAAAACACCCTGAAGGATTTCTCGTAGATAAGCGTATTTATTCATTTTGACCCAAGGATCCATGAAAATCATGGAATTTTGATCGTACTGCAAATAACAGACCATATGATTTTGAAGGAAGGCTGTTGGGAATCATTAATAACTGAATTAGAAAGAGGAGATTTAGAGGCTTAATATCAGTCATTTTTACGATTCGGACATGTCTCGTTCATAAAAATTTTTTAGTCTTTAAAAAGTGACACCTGACTTGCGAACTGGCACAGAGGGTGCTTGAATTTCTGGGCTCTAACTTTTTTCATTTCTTTTGAAAAAGGTTGTAATTTTTCGATAATATAGGGCTATAGTTCTAGTTCATTTTGAGCCATTTTACGAATCGATTCTATGGCCAATACAGTTTCAATGACGCTTTTTCTCATCGAAACCCGTGGGTTTGGGTATACTCGGAATTTGACCATGATCAGTTCTTGGTTGCATTTACTGATTGAACTTTGCTGCTTTTTAAAAGTCAACTGTCCTGTCTAATACACTAAATAATTTTCAGAAAAATATTCCAAGAAAATTTCATACCGTAGCTTTTTAAAATTTTTTGGACAGTGCTTTTTTGAACATTGGGATGAGGTAAAATTTTGCGACCGCTGAATCTTTTCGAAAAAATTTCAATAATCAAAAAGATATTTTAAGCTCATAAAGAGAATTATTTGGGCTACAAAATGAGCACAAAAAAATTATTATTAATTAGAAAAAAAGTTATGGCAAAATGAAAATTGTCCTAAACATTTCTTGTCACCCTGTAATAAAAGTGTAAGCTTTGATTTTTTAGAAATTGTCATTCGGCGTCTTGTTGTTATAAGAAGTGCATCTGAAATAGATAAATCAACAGGAAAACCCTGTGGTAATACATATTCAAATGATGTTCTTTCATTTGAAGAATTTGAATACCTTTTGGATGCAACGAAGAAAATACAAGATAAAGTCTCATTTCCAATATACCAAAATGCTTTTAAAAACCTTCTAAGTGAAGTTAACGATTTCGGGATAGAATTATCTTTAAATGGCATAAATTTATCCAGTGATATTGAAAAAGAATTGCATGATTATGATAATATTGTTAAATATTGTCAAGAGGATGAAAAAAAGGGAAAAAGAAAGGCGAAAAGTTCATGTAGATTTTACAATTATTTCATTAGCTTTAGGACTCCCATCTAAGTAACAAGTTTAGATGCCCATAAGATTTAGAGATTTTTCTGTATAAAGCTTTTTAATAAATTTTGCAATTTTAAAGCAAGTTCCATAGCAAATCAATCTGTAGAATACATAAACATAATAGATTCAGTTATATATTGCAAGATTTTCATGAACAAAATACAAGAAAATGGCTCATATGGGAGTTTACTTGATATATACTCTTTTATGGAAAAAGGACCCCAATCTCGGAGACATCACAAAGAAATGCATTTATTGAGTTTATTAAATATTACCGCTCTACATGGACTAAAAACAATTCTTTATTTATCAAAATTTCAAAGTAAAGAAATGGATAAAATTATGATCGAGAGAATCTACAATGACCATATTCTTAACAAAGAATCAAATAATGAAGACAAAAATGTAATTGTGGAAGGTGGAAACTCAATCGGTCTATATGCCGCTTTCTTGCTTTTCATTGGTAACTTATTATTGATGTTAGTTAAGTTCAGGACTTTGCTCATGACCTTAGAAATTCAGTACTAGACACTGTTAACTGATTACACACACACACCTTATTTTTTAAGTACTTTAAGCTCGATCAAAGATTTCCTCGATTTTTTGAATCTCGATGTCCCGTCTCGGCCTCGGAGTTAATTCTCGGTTCTCAAGTTCTGTACATAGCTTTTGATTCCCAAGCATCAAAGTATACTTATCCGATTAATTTAAATATGTTCTGCAAGTATACTCAAAATATTTTCTAGAAGGAATGAATGTAACTCTGATAACCGATAGTTCAAAAGAGGACACTGGCAACCAGTATATATTTGTTGATCGAAAATGGATGTCACAATTACGATATATTTTGGGTACTGGATTTGAACATCTTTTTGTTGAAGATAAATCATTGTCAAAAAACGTCAATAATGGTATTGGTTTTATCATTAAAAGTCAAAGTTTGGAAACTGTGCTAAAAGAGAGGTTAAATAAATTAATTGAACATGTATATGAACAAAGAGGAAATCATGAAGGAAAATCATTTTTGCAGATTTTGGATCAGAAAGAGATTATTGAAATTGATTTAACACAAGAGAAGCCTTTAGCAATTTTGAGAAAATTCGGCAGTAAAAAAATTCGTGAAATTCACTTTGATATGTTTTTCTGTGCTGATAGTTATAACGATAATATTTCTAATAAATTTTTAGGTAATTTTTGAAATAAAAAGTTTTGATTTTTGTAAATTTATGTAAAATAAAATGACAGAAATCTAAATTTTATGAGGTAACATGTCAACAAAACATTCATAAAACAATCTCGAAAATGTAAAATTAAAACTAAAATTTTTAGCATCAAATACAACTCATGTTAACTATGGTCTAGCTATATTCGACAAAAAATTTCATAACAAATATGTATTTAAAGGAGGAATTTTTTTCTACAACGGTGTACTTAATATTAGCTCTAGCTATGTACGTAAAGAAAATATAAATAAACTGGTTAAAGAAGCAGATTTTCTTTCTGAAAAACTGAAAAAGCGCTTTGAAGAAATTGTATCTTTAATTTCATATGGAGTGGCACGTGGATATAAAGAAATAAATGGAACTATTATGTATTCAAATTACCAATCATATACTTTCGTACGAATATTTGAGACAAAATCAAAAATACAAATTGAATCAAAAACGCCTGAAGCAATTGTGAAATTAATTGAAGAAGTTAAAACTGAAAGAAAATTACGTGATAAGGAATTTAAAAAATCTAAAAACAAATTAAAGTCTCGTAAAGAGGAATTAAAAAAGGTATTTATCTTGTCCTTTTATTAAAAATTCTGAAAAACGTCTTGGAAAAAATTGAGAAAGACATGCAGCGCTGATTTAAAATTTGGGTACAGCGGATAACTTCTTATATCACTTAATCTTTCTTGATTTCTAAAAATTGTGAGAATTATGGAAGGCCAAGAAACCAGATTTTTTATTTTCAACACCGCAGGCGAAAATTTTAAAAGTAATTGGTTTAGAATTCATATAGATTTTTAATAATACGACCAAATTTAAAGAAAATAAGTTGCACGATTTAGTTTCACGTGAATAAACAATAAGTTAACATTTTTAAGCTTGGGTTCAATCCAAATATTCATTTAATTCTTAACTTTCTGCGTCGAGCACACTATCCAGTACATTTTTAGCACCCGTTTCCATCACGATCTTTCAGTTTGCTTCCTTTGCTATCCTTGCAAACTGTCAACCAATCCTTTGATGACTGATGGAAACTAAAAGAAAAAATGAATACCTATATGCCTTTTTGCAGATCGCCTTTTGCGGTTGCGAGCTACACATTTACTGGAATTTCCTTTAAAATGTGTTTCACATCTTACAAATTAGTTTATTATTTGGTTAAATAAATGAAATATTCTTAATATTCTAATTTTTCCGAAAAATCTTACGTTTCCGAAAATTTTTGGCGATAAGCAGGGTCACAAACGAGATAAATACCTTTAAATAAGGCTGAAAAAGCACATAATGAAGAATTGAAAAAATTTGATGATTTTATTGTTGAACTAGAAAAACGATGGTTTAAGGCTCTTTTTAATTTTGTATATAATGAGTTATACAAAAATAATGATAAAGTTAATGTGATAATTAAATCGAAAGATGAAAAAGAAGCAAAGGTAAAAGCAAGTACTAGCTATAAAGTTGAAAAAAGGAATGAAAATGATACAGAACAAATTATTTATTTGGAACATTTCATTACTTTTGAGATGGAAACTAAACAAACAAAAACGCAGGTTAAAGAAATATATGCAAAGAAAGGCTCGGCAATTATTGCGGATATAAGTGATTTAAATAAAAATGCTCGCTTTATGCCAGCTATTGGTTTAAGCACAGGCAAGTTTTTTTTTCATATAATTTTTTTGCTTTATTAAAACTAAAAGCTAAAGATTCCCTTTTTTAGCAAGATTAGTAGTTGAAAATGCCGTTTCCGAGATCAAAGTGTACAATAAAAGTAGCAAAAAGACTAATTTATCAGAAATGCTGGAGAAAAGATTAACAAAAACGAGAAAAAGTTTTGAGCTTTTTTATATACGTCAAAATTATATGTTGTAAAGAATAATCTTTACAACGATGTAAATAAGAAATTTGTATATTTTAAAGAAATTTGGAAGAAAAAAGCGAAAACTAAATTTGATATTATTCATTTTTAAAATTCTACACTGAAAAATATTTGTTTTGAAACAAAACCATAACATTTTTTAACACTGATATTTATATTTCATTTTTATCATTTTATTTTATTTGGTAAAATTAAACAATTTTTAAAATTTTTGTTTTCCACTTGTATAAATATTGGGTATTTTGTTATCGTTAAATTAAGCTTTTGGCATACTATGTAGTAATCGAAAAATCGAGCAAAATTCATTATTATCCGAACAAAATGATTTTATAAAATTAAAAATGAATGTCTAGATTTCTTTAGAAGACCAAGAAGCAAGATTCTTCTTTTTCCGGTCCAGAGATATGATTTGTTGAAATAGGCGAAAAATCCCATTTTCAAAAAATCATATTCTGGACCGGAAAAAGATATTTCTAAGCGATACTCAGAAAAATATGCCTTATCAAATGAGTCTGTTAAATTTTTCCAGAATAATTTTTCAGAGGATATGAGATTTGACATATCCGGTAGATCCGGATTATCTCGGCCAATTTTCATTTGCATGAAAAATGTAGAAACATGTCAACTTAGATATGAATAGAGCTTTCGATTGCTATATAGAACGTATTTTTTGACTGAGAAATAGCTAATTTTCATTTCAATTACTCTTGTCCCTATCTTTATGTCGTCGACTGTATATTAATTCAGTTTTGAAAATAAAAATTTATTATTTCCGAAAAAATTTTATTTCCGATTTCCGATTTTTGAGCCAGTTCCGATTTCCGGCTCTTCCGATTTCCGACACCTCTGACTGTTCCGACCCACCTCTGCTTGAAATATAAATTTCCTATTTCAACTTGTTATTATGGAAATTTACTATAACAAATTTCGATTTTTCATGTCTCCTAGTAAATCCAATCCAATTAAAGGGCCGTTTTAGTTTATATAACGACCGTTTTGTCTCCATTAGAGCTACCCTTTAGGAATAGACATGAATATAGCGGTCAGCCACTCAATTAGATAGAATTCTAATCCTATCCGACTCTAGGTTTGGAAAAGTTTTCGAACTTATATATTTATGAGCTTATATTATTCTATAAATTTTTGAATAGTTGAATGAGATTCAACAAATTATTACAAGCATGTCACAATTGATTGATCTTCTTCATAATCAGGTTATACTTTATAAATAAATTTACATAAGAAAAAAAACATAATTAATGGAATATAATAAAAACTGAAATTGAGGGTTTGAGATTTTGTTAGGTCATTATAGTTAATGAGATTCGAGAGACATTGTACTAAAAAAAAAATAATATTAAATATTTACGATATACAAACATATACATACATATAATTTATCCAGTTTTCATTAAAAATACAAATTTGCAATATGTCGCGAAAAAAATTACGATTAAAGTCCGATCTCTAACTATTATTTAAAAATAATAATCCCTTGAAGTTTATTTTTCAAATTTCAGCAACCACCCAGCAACTGAAATTTTTGATGATTGAACGAAGAAGAGAATTCAAGATTGACTGATCAAAAAGTGATTTGGACTGATTATTTATTAAAGTATTTACTACAACCCTCATCCCCCCTCTTGGTTTGGTTTTTATTTAAAGTATTTGTAACGTACTACCCATTTACCCATTACAACTCTCTCTATTTATGTAATTTTACTCTAAACCTCCAACCTGGGATCTTGCTTTTCATATCAAACAGAAAAATGTGTTTTTATTTTAAAATTATTTTTTTACTTTGACATTGGGCAACATTTTATAATCGTTTTTTCAAGAAAAAGTCAAATGGTTTTTATATTACTACTATATTACCCCTATTAACCTATTGATTAGTTAGAACAAGAGAGCTCTGAAGAGACTGCCTATTGGGTGAGAGAAGTCAGAGAAAAAATTTTTTTCTCTCCCCAAATAGGCAGTCTCTTCAGAGCTGTCCTGTTCTAACTAATCAATAATTTCAAATCGTACCCAATCCTATTGATACCCCCCCTCCCCCATCTACAGTAGACAAAACCAAAACCTTTCAGGACGTTCCGCGGCGAAGAACATTTGAGTGCCAAACATTTTCAGGGACGGTTCGATGCCCGAGCAAAAAATTTTTTCCAGGTTTAGCAATATCGATTTTGAGTTATTTGTGTACTTATTTTATTGTGTACTTATTTTTTTATTTGTGTACTTATTTAATTTTGTTTTTAGGGTAATTAAACCTAAATTTTTGGAAGTCTTCAGAAAAATATTGAAGACTAATTGCCGGTACTGGTTCTTACCGGTACTGGTTCATCTAATTGCCGGTACTGGTTCTACTTGTTGTCTTTTGAAGGTATTAAAAAATTTTTAAATTATTTTTGAATAATTTTCTCCTTTTAGTCTGATGGTAGTGTGCATGGAGTTGATTAAAACTTTCTCTTAGCTTTTCAATTTTTTTGTATTTTCAAGTTGGTGGTTGGGGACATTTGTTAGCTGATGAAGGCGGTGCTTTTTGGATTAGCATGAGGTTTTGAATTAAAATTTTTTTCTTTTACTGGATATCAGGGATGTCCCGGGTCAACCAAAACCTAGACTTTTTTCATTACGAAAATGTTGACAAAGTCTGACTCAACTTTTTCTCTCTTAATTCCGCTAACTGACCTGATCCGAAACCCGGACTTTTTTCTACCGGAAAAGCGATCCGAAGAAACAAAACCCAACCCGATTTTTCTCAACACTGATATCACATCTATGATTTAAATTCTGAAAATTTTAATTTTCTTTTTTATAGAAATTCGTTATATTTTCTGTTTTGATCATGGAATGCTTGAAAATTCATTTTTAAACAATTCTATGATTGACGAGATTGAAGATGTTCCAGATATCCAAACTGAAAGAGCATTTACTTAAACATTTTCAAATTAAAACAAAAGAGGAAATGATAAATATTTTGTATGGACCGAGAAATTATTAAGGCAATAATGCAAAATCGTGGTCTTACAAAAGTTGGTATTAATTTAAGATTGCCTGAAGGTCGATTTAAAGTAGAACAAGCTACTATTAGAACTCAGGAAATTA